CTTGGTGTGTGACAGGAAATGGTCGATGGCGTCCAATTAGAGCAGGATGACCTGCCAAAGTCAAAGGAAAAGATGGTTATCAGACAAGGTTGTTCCATGTTATTCTGCATGAACAAAAGTAGTATCAAATCATCCACACCAAAGCAACTTAACATAATGTTTTCTTCTTGCTAAGCCTTGAAGGAAAAGCAAACTGACAACCATAAACTCTCAGTATCCTAATAGAAACAATCCTCTCCAACGGTTTATAGATGCAAACGCTTCCCCAGAAGACCTCAAACCAGACGGAATAACTTTGAAACTGATCTGTATGAACTTCCTTAGCAAGCCTGGCACAGAATAGCCCACGCTGATAATTCTAGCCTCTTTGAATTAACAGCAAGGAGGCCAACTTATGCTCATAACTTGCGCTTGGCAACACAACATACCCACTCCACCAGGTTTTACTCCACAAAAGTTTCAGTGAACGCATTATTTCATTAATTATTGAACTAGAGAGCAATCAACTAAAACATACGGAGAACAAGCTATTTCTATCATCAAGTAAAGAAATTGATTAGTCCAGTGGATTAATCTTTAACATCATACTGAATACTAACCTTGAATCTATATTAAAGAAAAAATCCCGAGGATTCCTCCACCATTGTCATTTAATTGCTAATAATTACCAAAAATTAACCCCTTTTAAAACCATACATCACAAGCAGAAATTCTTCAAAAAAAAACAGCAATTTATCATAAAAAATTGAAGCCGTAAAAACGCAAAATCTTATATACTTGAAAAACATACCTTTCCTTTGAGAATACAAAGGAGGCCCTCCCATTCTCTGCACAAAAAACTCATACTGATTCTGAATTGCTTCTTCTTTCTTAGAATTCACAAATATGGATCTAAACCACTCTTCTTCATCATCATAAACCCTAAAAACAAAAACCCATTAACAAAAAAGCAAAAAAAACCCTTTAATCCAACAAAAAATACTCACCTGTTATAAAAGTTTGTGGAGAGGTTGATGAAAGTTTGAAGGCCGAGCTTTTGAAACAGGTTAGTGTTGTCAATAGCAAACGCGTCAGCAGAGTCAACTCCACTCCACTCGGAGGCTTTCTCTTGCAATGACTGCATTGCTCCCGTTTAACTGAGTTGATTAACAATCTGGTCTCTGGTTGTTTATGCTTGCGAGGATTGTACTTCATATATAGAGGAGCCGGCTTGTGGCCGTCGCGTGGTTTCGACGCTCATTTTTATTTGGAGAAGAAGGCAATTGGACATGTGGCGATTTTTGGTTGGTTGGGAGAGTGGGAAGGATGAAAAACCATGGGACGATGATTCTTCTTCCCCTAGTTTTAGAATGCTTTGGAATGGGAATGGGACCATGGTGACGTTTGACCAAATGGTGTCACGGTGGTGTTATATAGTTGACATATTTTTATTTTTTACTTTATTTTGAGATGATAATTATATCCAATTCTATGGATATCTGCTTTTATTTATTTGAATGAGGATGAATACAAAGGGAGTTTTTCTTCTATGAAATGAAAGTGAAAATAGTTAAAAACATTTTATTTGTTTGTTGGATAGAGCACCACTATGATTTCGTTTATTTTTGAAGTAGCTTTTATTATTTTGATTTAAAAAAATATTTTTTTAAAAAGTATGATTAATTGGATATAAACACATATTTGATAAAAAATTATAGTTGAAGTTTATATATAACAAAAAAATATAAAAAAAATATTTGGTAGTTGTGTAGTTGTCATTATTTTTTAAAGTATTTTTTACTTAAAAATATATCAAAATAATTTTTTTATTTTTTTAAAAATATTAATCTAAAAACATAAAAAAAATATTAATTTAAAATAAATTAATTAATTTTAAAAAAAAAAATTGAAAAGCAAAAGCAAACTGAGTTTTACCAAACTTAGTTACAAAAACCATGTAAAAATTATTTTTTAAAAACTATATTTTAAACTTAATTTTTTAGTGAATTCCACAATAAAAAAACACAATTTAACATGTTACCAAATACCTTATTATATTTTTTACACCGCAAACATAAAAACTACAAGTAAACAAATGCAGCCTATATCTACTATATTTATTTATATGGATAGTTTATTAATATTCTTAATATACATTAAAAATAATTTTTATAGTTTTGTTGATGATTATCTTTGTTGATTTTGTTTGATACTTGTAAAATAATTTTTTTTATAGCCCATATATTTTACTTTATAGCTATGAAAAAAAAATTAAGTGGACATCTATTGTAAGTTTGTTTTTACAAAAAAAGAAAAAAGCAAAAGACGAGTGTAAAAGATTAAAAATTATCTCTTATTGAAATGTAACTAAATATAAAGACCGGGAGATTTAAACAGTATTTAGATGTATTGATAATAAAAATAAATATAATATATTTTTTACATTTTAAGATTATAAAATGTATTTTATTATAAATTTTTCAAAGATATATTTACTTTATATTAACACGCGAGGCAGGGACGTCTTTATGTTTGCAATACGTACATTTCAATAGCTCTTGTCCCAACTCTAAGCAACACATCGCATTCTTTTTAGTTTTAACGTTATGCAATCACATATCATAAGATTTTTTAAAAAAAAAATAAAAAGCAAGACACCATTTTACACATGTTTCAAGGGAAAAAAAAAAACTTCTTAGGGACCTTTGCAGAAGAAGACTTAATTGGATACAGTGCACTCTTTTTTTCCCCCTTGCATTTCGTTTATTTTTGAAGTAGCTTTTATAATTTTGATTTAAAAAAATAATTTTTTAAAAAGTATGATTAATTGAATATAAACCTATATTTAATAAAAATTATGGTTGAGATTTATGTATAGCAAAAAAAATATATAAAATATTTGATAATTATGTAGTTGTTATTATTTTTCAAAGTGTTTTTTACTTGGAAATATATCAAAATAATTTTTTTATTTTTTAAAAAATATTGATACCAGCGCATCAAAATGATTTAAAAATACAAAAAAAAAATTAATTTAAAATAAATAAATAAATTTTTTAAAAAAAACTTTTAAAAAACAAGAGCAAACAAAGTTTTACCAAAGTTAGTTACAAAAACCGTGTGAAAATTGTTTTTCAAAAAGCACGTTTCAAACTTAATTTTTTAATGGATTTTACAATAAAAAAACATAGTTTAATGTATTACCAAGTACGTTACTATATTTTTTAAAAAGTATGATTAGTTGAATATAAACACATATTTGATAAAAATTATATTTAAGGTTTATATACAACAAAAAATATATATAAAATATTTAGTAGTTGTGTGATTGTCATTACTTTTTAAAGTATTTTTTACTTCAAAATATATCAAGATAATTTTTTTTGAAAAAAATTAATATCAAGACATCAAAATGATCTAAAAACATAAAAAATATTAATTTAAAATAAATAAATTATTTTTTTTTCAAAAAAGCTTTTTTTTTTTAAAGAAAATAAATTTTTACTGATCTTAGTTACAAAACCATGGAAAAATTTCTTTTCAAAAAATACATTTCAAACTTTATTTTTTTAATGGATCTCACAATAAAAAATATAATTTAATGTATTACTAAGTATATCATTATATTTTTTACACCACAAACATAAAAATTACAAGTAAACCAATGCAACCTATATCTGTTATATTTATTTATATGGATAGTTTATTAATATTCTTAATATACATTTAAAATAATTTCTATAGTTTTGTTGATGATTATTGATTTTGTTTGATACTTGTAGAATAATTTTTTTTTTATAACCCATATATTTTACTTTATAGCTATAAGTGGACATTTCTTGTAAGTTTGTTTTCACGAGAAAAGAAAAAAGAAAAAGACGAGCGTAAAAGATTAAAAATTATCTCTTGTTGAAATGTAACTAAATATAAAGATCGGGAGATTTAAACAGTATTTAGATGTGTTGATAATAAAAGTAAATATGATATATTTTTTACATTTTAAAATTATAAAATGTATTTTTTTTAAAAAAATTCAAAGATATATTTACTCTATATTAACACGCGAGGCAGGGACGTCTTTATGTTTGCAATACGTACATTTCAATAGCTCTTGTCCCAACTCTAAGCAACACATCGCATTCTTTTTAGTTTTAACATTATGTAATCACATATCATAAAATAAAATAAATGCAAGACACCATTTTACACATGTTTCAAGGAAAGAAAGAAAGAAAAAACTTCTTAGGGACCTCTGCAGAAGAAGACCTAATTGGATACCGTGCACTGTTTTTTTACCCTTACATATAAAGATTAAATTACAGGCATGCTTTATATTATCTACAGGATCAATTTTTTTAATTATAAAAAAATGATTTAAGTGTTGCTTATATTCCTTTTATAGTAGGAAAAAACAAAATTGTGCAGGGATTAGTATAATATAACTTAGTTTTTTTTAATTAGTTTTAAGACAATTAAATGATTATGAAAATATAGTTTGATTCAAAATGAATATTCAAAATAATATATTTTTATAAAAATTAAGACAATAATATATTTAATTAATTTGGGTTAACTTGATTAATTTATCAATTTATATATTGAGTCATGAAATTATAACAACTCAATATAAATCAAATTAAAATAAATTATTAAATTTAATTTCAAATAAAATTAATATTAAAAGATAAGGTTGAAAAAAATTAATAAAAAAATTAAGTTAAACGATTAAATTTATAATTTTAATTTTTAATAAATTTAATATAAAAATTTTAAAAATATATATTAAAAATAAAAAAATAAAGGAAAAATATTATTTTTAAAAATAGTATCCTCGGAGGAAATACATAGTAACTTCCCGTTCCCTTAAGTTTATTTTTCAATCTTAGTAAATTCGACTGATGTGGCCCAGTTTAGATCCAATTGAATTGAAAGATTAAAACTAGGGTCCAACAACCCAAGCCCAAATATCTAAGGAAATCATTAATGAACCGCGGAAGAAATACACCTGGCAGTTGAGGACGACACGACCAAATAAATAAATTAGCGCAAAGCCTTCTTGTCATTTTACCGAACCCCAACCCTAACAACCCCTCTTTACCACCCGTACACTTCTTACATCGTATTCGTACATCTTTCCCACGATTATCACAAGCAAACCCTAATTAGATTTCATAAGCTGCCACTGTAAGGTCAAATTCCCTAACTTTCCTGGAATTCAGGATTTTTTTGTGTTGCAGAGGGAAATCTTGATTGCTCGAATGGTAGCAGCAGTTGTCGATATCGAAAGGATGGAGAAGCAGCAGCGTGTCAGAAAACGGCCGAGATTCGCGTGGGACGTAGGCCCCGCACAACCAGAGGTTTATTTTTTTTTTCGGAGATCTGGGGGATTAGGATAATGAGAGATCTTGAAAATCACGCTTGGTACAGGGAGATTGACTCGGGGTTAAAATTGGTGGTGGTTTTTGTTATTTGTAGGAACGGGCTCCAGTGGTGGCTCGAAATGAGGGGATGGCGGCTAGGTATGTGTCCCCGCCGAGAAGGGAGGATGATCGTGAAGGACATTATATGTTTAATCTCGGCGAGAATTTGACTCCAAGATGTAAGCTTTTCTTCAAATTTACTATTTGCGATTTTAAAATCTGATTGGGAAATCTCAAATTTTGGAATTTTTTAATAATATCCTCCTGTTTTAAGGCAAAGAAAAGGGAATCTCAAGAAGAGATCGATAAGAATATAAAAAAAGGAACTGAAACTGAAACTGAACTTTCTTTTGGAACAGATCTAGTGGGGAAAAACATTTGAAATTCATAAATTATATGTACTAAGTTCTTATAAAAGTTTATGTGAAGTGTTTTGTTAGTTAAGAGTCATGCAATGTTTTAATTGCGTTCTCTGTGCAAAGCATTGGCCCAATCTCTGATTAGGAACTTCTTGCACTGTTTGGCAGATAAAATACTGAGCAAAATGGGTGAAGGTTAGCTGTCAAGCGTCTTGCTATCTACAAGATGTTAAATTTTTGTGATTCTGCTTGTGCCATTCAGCAAATTGCTAGTATTGTAGGCACTTTTGGGCGAGTTTTGGAATGTTGGGATCGCCAAAGACGAGAGTATGTGGCAATCAAGGTAGTACGTAGCATTCACAAGTATCGTGATGCAGCAATGATTGAAGTCGATATACTTCAGCGTGTGGCCAAGAATGAAAAAGCCAGCTCACGGTATATGTTTTATGAGTTTCTGCTGAGAGAAAAGTTGCTTGCATGTCATCAGTCTTCACCCATCACGCGGCATGTTCTCATGCTCCCTGCTTGTTGATTCCTCTATGCAGATGTGTTCAGATTCGGAACTGGTTTGATTACCGCAATCACATTTGTATTGTAAGTATTCCAATTAAATCTCTGTTATAAGTAATTCCTTTTCTCGTGCTGTATTTTATAGGAAGATTGTGCTGGATTCACTGGCAAACCATCCTTTCAAATGATGAAAGAAGTGGCTGGAAACTAAGCCTTAGATTTATTTGTCTCATTTTCTGTGCATTTTTTTATGTTGCTTATGTCCAAATGTGAATCCTTTGAACTCTTTGGTGTTCAAAATTTGACCAATTTATCACTAATATATATTCAGAACATGTAACTTATATTCAGTCAATTATGATGGTTTAATATCAATTTGTCTGCATGGACTTAATTCATGAAATGGGAACTAAACAGAAAACTTCCTTTGAATGGATTTTTAATGGTGTTACCAGGTATTTGAGAAGCTTGGACCAAGTTTGTTTGATTTTCTAAAGAGAAATAAATACAGCCCATTCCCCGTGGATCTTGTTCGGGAATTTGGACGTCAGCTTTTGGAATCTGTAGCATGTGTGTGGATTGTTCTTGGCTCTTGTCTTGTTACTTTCCTTATATTTCTTAACCAATCACCCAGATCTGTTTCTTGGCCTGTTTTGTTTATTCAGGGCTAGCAAGGGATCTCTGATTCTTTTTTACCTCTTGTGTAATGTTTTTATTTTCCATGACTTGTCATATTTGGCAGATATGCATGATTTACGCTTAATTCACACTGACCTGAAGCCAGAAAATATACTTCTTGTGTCATCTGAATATATAAAGCTTCCAGGCTCCAAGGTATTTGGCCTTTCACAATTGAAAAATAATACCATTTAAGATTTGGGTTTAGGGTTGGTTATAACCTTAAAAATGATTGAAATGGTACAGAGGAGTTCTTCAGATGAAATGCACTTCAGGTGCTTGCCAAAGTCAAGTTCCATTAAGCTGATTGATTTTGGTAGTACTGCATTTGATAATCAGAACCATAGCTCCATTGTTTCAACGAGACATTACAGAGCCCCTGAGGTCATTCTAGGTAACGAGTTACTGTGTTGACAAATGAGAATGTGTTTCCCTCTTTGGTTGCTTCTACATGTGTCGACTTCTCATGGAAGGTGCAAAAAGAACTTGGTGGTTGGTAGAGGGATATGGGTGTAGGAATTTGCTTAGATGTTTCAGAAGTGGGTTGAGAATCTGGACACTAGGTCACAGAAATGTTCTTTTCAGATCAGACACTCAATTCATTAAAAAAAACAATTCTTAGATTGACATTAATAGTTTCTCTTTTCATTTCTTTCTAGAACCTTACATCATTTGTTTCAACTTGTTTGTGTAGAGGACTGATTATCTGATGGTACATTCAATGTGTTATCTTTTCCCCCAGACATCTGTAGTGGGAAAATTTATTACTGATTCTACTGACATGCATAGTTTTAGAGAAATTTAAAGTTCAAATTTGTAAGGGCTGTTTTTCCCATGGTACTTTTGGATTTGTTTTTGCATTCTCTCTGCATGGCCTTCTTATTTCCCATGTTTACCATACCATTAATTTCAAGTTCCCTTGTTTTTTTTCTCTCTTAGAGAGACTAATAAACCATAGCTGTCAAAGTGCACGTTTTCTATTCTTCCTTTTCTCTAGCAATTCCTCCCACCAAAATGCTTATACTTGAAATTTGGAAGTTTTTGATCGATGTATGATAAATTTCCTTTGAATAGTTAAAAATACAAAAAAAACAAGAAACTAATATATACATAAACAGGCACAATGGATTTCACTGTGGAATCACCACCTGGGAAATTCAAGCCTATATGGTTCTATTACAAACTTCAAGTGATACCTTAACTCGTCTCTTAAATCTCAAAATTAGTTCATGAGTGTGAAATCATTTGTGCTTGATTAATGTAGTTTTGTTTTGTTTGTTCTTCCTACCTAAATGTGCTTTTGTGACGGAGATTTCTCTGAAATTTAACTGCCTGCGGAGTGCACTATTCTATAATTAAATCTTATTTCCTAACTTGCTGCATACATTTTCATTGCAGGTCTAGGTTGGTCTTATCCATGTGACTTGTGGAGCATTGGTTGTATACTAGTTGAGTTATGCTCGGTTAGTCCTGCTTGTCTCTTGTTGTATGAGAACCTTGCTTTGATTCTGAATTTCTTATCAGAAATACTTAAATTTGTCGGAAAATGTATGCAGGGCGAAGCTCTATTCCAGACACATGAGAACTTGGAACATTTAGCTATGATGGAGAGGGTATTGGGACCTCTGCCAGAGCACATGATTCTTAGGGCTAAGTAAGTTCTTTCCTAATATTTGAGCGAGAAACCTGGTTGAGTGGATTAAATTGATTTAGTCCAGTTTTTGGGTTAATTTCTATTGTTTTCCCAATTTCTTTTTCTCATGATCCATGTCTTCCCTATGCATTACTCCCATAATGTTTGAGCAGCTATTAATGAATGTAGAATTCTCTTCCAATTTTACTGAATTCCATCCACTTTTGTTACATGCAGTCGTGGAGCTGAGAAATATTTTCGGAGAGGATCCAGGTTGAATTGGCCTGAAGGAGCAGTTTCTAGGGAAAGTATCAGAGCTGTGAAGAAGCTTGATCGACTAAAGGTGATTTCTATTTTTTTTGTTTTGGATTTCATTTCTATACCTTGGATACTGGATTATTGATGCTCTTGATATTGGATTTTAATGATGAACAACACAGCTTATGATATCTCAACACGTAGACAGCTCAAGATCTTCACTCATTGACCTGCTGCATGGTTTGTTAAAATATGATCCATCCGAACGTCTAACAGCTTGGCAAGCTCTTAATCATCCGTTCTTCAAGTGTCCAACTTAAGCTACTGCACTTCGAAGCAAATCTATGTGCTGGTTTGACGTGAATGGCTGGCTTTGACCATGAGTTATTGTATCTCCTTGTACATGTACAATTCAAATCAATGGAAATCCTTTTTTTCTTTCGAGTCTTCTCTCAGTTGAATGGAACCCTGATTTTGGATAACATGGCATTGCATGGTACTGAGCATAAAGCTAATAAATTACGAAGATTCGGCGAGGCGGTTGTTTCATTGTAAAGATTTTGTTCATTGTACAAATAAAGATGATTTGTCAAGGTCAAGACTTTTTATCTGAGGTTTGGTGTAATGACTTGGACAGAAGGTGTACAATAATAGCTGTAATGAGCTGGAGCCTCCAACTCAACTAATTGTTACCTAGATAAAAATGGAGATGAAGAAACTTCAAAAGCTTGTTTCAGCATTTTAAAGCACAGAAGTCTTCAACAAATAACAGTGCTGTTGCTCGCACGCCACAAGACTCCTTGCTCAACAGTGAAAGGGGGGAGAAGCTAGGCCTGAAGATCCCTTGCTTCCAAATTGTATGCTTGCTCATCTCTCCATGAGGTCAATTACATGTTTTTTCCATATTGTATCCCATCCTCCCTCTCTTTCCTGGCTGCCAGAATCTAATTTTACAGCAGCATTAAAGGAGGCCTCTTAAGTGGGATTTCCAAGCCCAAAATGGTATGAAATCTCAGGAGGGTAAGATGACTGTAATACAAAATCACCAGTAATCTCTGCAAGAGCACAAGCCATCCTCAAACCTGTGAAATCTATTTGCATCTCTCACCACAAATACTACTCTCAAGATCTTCGATAAACCCTTTATGAACTCATGACAATCCCCACAAACTCTCAAGTTTTTGAATACACGAATCACCTTTCTCCCCTCTTCTAAACCCCCACAAACCAATGCCAACCCTATTGCCAACTTCTCACTATGAACTCTCAAGTTCTCCATCTTTGACTCTTCTTCCACATCGTGTAATGCATATTTAACCCCGTAAACATAACCTAACTCTTCTTTCATCCTCCTTTCCATTTCTTTCAAGATTTCATGTATTTTCTCTGTGAGGGGATGCGTATCATCTCCGCCATAGAAAAAGTGTACCTCCTTGTCAATCTCTACCCAACTACGTCCTGCCTCTTTCTTTAACTTCTTTGACTTCACCAATTCTCTTATTCTCTCACATTCTTTCCAATAGCCTGCATCAGCATAAATGTTGGACATCATCACATAATTAACAGGATTTTCACTGTCTAACCTCAAAAGAATGCCACCTACTTCTTTCCCCAATTCCAAGTCTCCATGTACTCTGCAAGCACTCAGCAATGTCTGCCATATCCCTACATTTGCCTCAAGAGGCATGCTGTCGACGAGGTTCTTAGCTTCTTTTAAGCGCCCAGCTCGGCCAAGGAGATCAACCATGCATGCATAATGCTCTACTCTAGCTTTGATCCCATGGTAGCTGCATAACCTTGAGAAGTATTCTTGACCTTTCTCTACTAGTCCTGAATGGCTACAGCCTAAGAGCACTGCCAAGTAAGTCACATCATCAGGCTCAGTACCATCTAATTGCATTTCATCAAAGAGACGAATTGCCTCTATGCCGAGACCATGCTTTCCATAGCCAGTGATCATAACTGTCCAAGAAATCACATTTCTAGCAGGCATTTCACTGAAAAGTATCTCTGCCTCATTTATCATTCCACACTTAAGATACATATCCAAAATTGAGTTGCATACTGAGATGTCTACACCAGAGGAGACTTTAATTGCAAATGCATGCATTTGCTTGCCTTGCTGAACAAGTGCAAAATCAGCGAACACGCCCATCATACTTGACAGAATAAACCCATCAACTTGAATGCTGCTCTCTCTAAGCTGCCTAAACATGTCCATGGAATCTGCTAAGTTTCCTTCTTGAGCGTAACCAAGAATAAGTGCCGTCCATGATATCACATGTTTCTCTTCAATATGACTAAACACTGTTCTCGCCATGAACAACTTCCCACATTTCACATATAAATCAATGAGAGCACCAGCAACAGCAGTATTAACAGAATACAAGAAACCACCAGTAATTAAGAAAGCATGAATTTGGTTTCCTTCTTTGATTGCACCAAGGTCACTGCAAGCTTTCAACGTGCTTGTAAACGTGAATTCATCGAGGAATCCCCCAACGTCTTGCATTTTTTGAAACAAAACTAGAGCTTTCTCACAGAATCCTGCAACAGTATATCCTGCTATCATAGCATTCCAACTTATAAGGTTCCTTACAGGCATAACTTCAAACATACAGGCAGCTTCATTGATTCTTCCACATTTTGAGTACATGTCAATGATAGAATTCCCTACCACATTCACCATATCAAATCCAGTTTTCACACAAATATCATGAATTTGTCTCCCAATATCTAGGCCATTCAACAAACCACAGGCTTTAAGATTCGTTGAAAAGGTGAAATCATTCGGTTTCACACCCGATAAGCCCATTTTGGAGAATAGTAATAATGACTCTAGCGGGTTCCCATTTTGTATGTGCCCGCACATAAGAGCCGTCCAAGAAACCACATTTCTTTTGAGCATTCTATCAAACATATCACAAGCAACACCTAGTCTACCGCATTTTCCATACATAACTATTAGATCATTGCTTAACATCAAGTCAAAACCAAACCCCATTTTCACTAAAGCTCCATGTACTTGCATTCCTTGATAAAGTAACAAACTTTTTGAACAAAACCGCAAAAAGTTTGCAAATTTCTGCCTCTCATTTAACACCCTATTCATTGATTACCAAGAACACCGAAAGCAATGGCAACAAGAATTGGTGGCTTGAAAATCAGAGAACTAGAGAATTTACTTGTGCACATTTTGCTGAACTGAAAAGACATTGTAGAGTTGAAGAGTATCCATACTCACGTTATCAAGTACTAACTTTCACAGAGCAACTTTTTGGTGACAAAAATGGTAGATGTGTGTGATAAAAGTGAGGATCTTGGCTACGCAGCCTTGAACGAATCAAATGAGTATTTATACAAAGCAATTATAAGAGCCTTCGCGCACAATATTGATTAAGCGGTGAAGATTTGAAACTAAAAGGTTTGTTTTATCTGTTATTTTAATTTTGAATTCTTGTTTTTAATTCTTGATTGCTCATATATGGCTACTGAAAGCTTATATAATTGTTAACTTCAAAACTCATAAGATTAATCGTAATACATACAAGTTAACCCAAATATTCACATTAATTTTAAAAAAAAAAAATATACAGGAGAGATACTAAAACTAAGGCGGTCCATTGTATTTTTATTTTTTTATTTAAAATTAATATTTTTTATTGTTTTTATATGTTTATAAAAAAAAAAAATCCATGTTACTGCAACCCACAAAGTGAAGACCATTTGTTATCATCCAGTTCAGGGCTTGTTTGTTATAATCAGGGTAAGCAAGCCCATGCCCATTTATGCAAGTTTGGGAAGTCTAATTTACCATAAAGAATGAACTCGAGGTGTTATAATTTATTACATGCACTCGAGGTGTTTGATGGAATGATTGAAAGAGATTCGATTTCATGGAATAGTATCTTTTCTGGGAATGCTAGATTGGGTCAAATGAGAAAGGCGAGAGCTTCGTTTGATTCAATTCCTTATAGGAGTCTACAGTACCTTGGACAGCAACGATATCCGGGGTACCCGTGCTTAAATGCAAATTGTGGGCATTGAGCCTGATAACATTAGCATTATTTCTGCTTCGCCGGCGAGTGGGCAGCCAGAAGCTCTTGAAGTTGAACGGGATACACATGTATTGTGATAGAAATGGGTTGTTCAGGAAGACTTCTCTGTGTAATGCTCATATTGGAATGTACGCAAAATGTGGCTGCATTGGTCAAGCTTGCCAATCTCTTTAATCTGGCTGCATTGGCCCAAAGCACCTCTTCTCTTCTCTTCTCTTCTCGGTGCAAGTTATGCTAAAGATATCGCAATTCTCCGACTGCAATTTTTTTAAAAAATCACAGTTAAACAATGCTATTTTCTATTAAAAAAAATTGTCTTTGACAAATTTCATTTTTAAAGTGTGCTGTTTTCAAAAAAAATTCGCAAATCAGGGGAAAGCTCGCGCAGCAATTGCAGTGTTTGAAAGAATGAAGCAAGTGGTGGTAAGCACACAAATAAAAACATCATAAATTTATTCAGAAACCAAAGATTGTTCCAGAGAGAATGAACTGATGCATGGCAAAACAAATAACATATAGAATCATGTAGCTAAATTAAAAGACCAAGGAAAGGCCGCAAATGGCCATTACGGCATGCACAGTACAATACTGCATCAGTTTCCTTCCGACCATATTTGTTTTTGTATTTTAAAAATATTTAAAAAATTAATTTTTTATTTTAAATTATTTTTTTATATTTTCATATCATTTTAATTTACTAATATTAAAATATATTTTTTAATAATAAACACTATAAAAAATAACATCACAACACTTTATTGAAGAGAAGAAGCGTTACATTGGTTAGCAGAACTAGATAAAGAGGCCTGAAAATAATAATGATACTTATCAAGTTGCTGCCCAGCAGGGGAAATCCTAGATTCGATAAGACAGCCAATAGGGCCACAACTACAGAGCAACGAAGACGGGATTTCTCTGATGCTGCAATGGCAGAGGTTATTTGATTTGGAGTCACAGAACTACTTATCCATCGTTGTGGTTTTAAGTTTCGCTCTGTTCCTGAAGGAGACCTAGATGGTTTGGCCAAAGATGGTTCTACTTTACTGCTTGCTTCCGCAGCTGTGTCAAATTCGCGTGGAGATGGTTTCACAGTGCTCCCACCATGTCCAGCAGCAATGTTGGTCGGTTCATGATCATCTTTTCCATCAGCAGAACATGCTAGATTGCCTCAATTACCTCCACCCCTCAGAAAACGAAAATGCTATAAAAAGCATGCAAGTCATAGATTGCCTCAAGTACCAGCACCCCTCCACAAACGAAAATGCCATCAAAAACATCCAAGCCATAGATCGCCTCGAATAACTCCACCCCTCAACAAACGAAAATGCTAACAAAGACATGCATGCCATGGATAAGAAAGCATAGCAACTTTACATGGTAAAGACATTTTCTTTTAGCCTCTCCACCTCTCCTCTTTCAGAAGAGGAAAGATGCCCAATGACTTGTTTGGGCCGCTCAGAAATCAGGCTGCGTCATTATCTGCCTATAATGAAAGCATAAAAAACAAACAAAGCCTTACAGTTCTTGTAGGCTCTCAAAACTCCTATAAACTAACACGAGAAGGAGAGAGAGAGTAGGGGTACCGTACTGGTGTTTTTATTGGAGAGGTGAAGAGGTGGGTCCTGGGAATTCAACGGTTGAGATGGATTGCCGGGTGGGAAGCAGGTGATGAGAGCTAGTCGGTCAGATCCTATATCAACGTTCTGTTAATTATCAGATTGCAAACAAATAAATTGAACCGTAATCGACTTGTTTTATTAAAAGATAAACTGGCTTTATAAATAGCCTTACATTGTAAGTAATTCTCAGAAAAAACAGCTAAATAATAGTAACAGACTCACGACTTAATCAGCTCAGCAATAACAGGCTTGCTGATTTGATCACACTTAATAGCTGTGATTCACAGCTGTGATTCCTAGTCAATAGGATTTATTAACAGAAAACAGACAAATTAAATTCAAACAATCTTTAACATTCTCCCTTAAACTGTATGCTTGAAAGCATTCAGTTTATTTCCACGATCGAACACATCCCAAGCAATGCTCTCAGCTTCACGAAAGATTCAGCCTTTAAAGGCTTAGTTAGAATATCTGTAATTTGCTCAGCACTTCTGCAATGAACCAGTTCCACTTTACTTTCTTTGGTGAGATCACGAAGAAAGTGAAATCTCACATCAATGTGTTTGCTCCTTCCATGCAAGACTGGATTTTTGGACAGCTTAATTGTTGAATTATTGTCACAGAACAACATAATTGGACCTTGCTGTGCATGCTTCACTTCTTCCAAAATTCTGTTTAGCCAAATACCTTGACATGCACATGATGCAGCAGCTATAAACTCTGCTTCAGTTGTAGATAAAGTAACAATAGGTTGCTTTTTTGAGGACCATGAAATTGCAGCTCCATTTAAGAGAAATACATATCCAGATGTGCTTTTACGATCTTCTGCATCCCCAGCATAGTCACTGTCACTGAAATCGATTAATTCACATTTTCCACTCTTCTGCGTCTTATAGAACAGACCATAGTCAAGTGTTCCTTTTAGATACCGAAGTATTTTCCTAACAGCCTGATGATGTAGTTCAGTTGGTGCTTCCATAAATCTGCTAATGAGACTGACAGCGTATGTTAAATCTGGTCGAGTGGCTGTCATATACATCAAGCTTCCAATCATTTGCTTGTAATATGTACCGTCAATTTTTGCTCCTCCATCATCACAGGTCAGCTTGGTTCCAGGAATTATAGGAATTTGGACTGAATTGCAATCATCCATTCCAAACCTTACAAGAACTTCCCGAGCAAATTTCCTTTGACAGATAAATATACCACCTGTAGATTGAGTCACTTCTATACCAAGAAAGAATTTCATCTTTCCCAAATCAGTCATCTCAAATTCCTTCATCATGGATTGTTTAAATACTTTAAACATATCTTCATCATTGCCAGTGAATATTAAGTCATCCACATATAAGCATACAATCAAAAGATTACCTCTCCCTCCAGTTTTGATGTAGAGTGTGTGCTCATAGGGACATTTGTGAAAGCCTGCCTTGCTGAAATAATTGTCAATTCGATTATACCAAGCTCCTGGGGCTTGTTTCAACTCATAAAGAGCCTTTTTCAGTTTGTATACCAGACCCTTGCTTCCCTTCTTTATATAGCCTGGTGGTTGATCTACGAATACTTGTTCCACAAGTTCTCCATGCAAAAACGCAGATTTTACATCTAGTTGAAAGACATTCCACTCATTCATAGCAGCCAACGAAATAATCATTCTAATTGTGTCATGCCTTGCTACTAGGGCAAACACTTCAGAATAATCAATTCCATACCTTTGTGTATATCCTTTAGCAACTAATCGAGCTTTGAACTTGTCAACTTCTCCTCTTTCATTTAGCTTTGTTCTGTAAATCCACTTGACTCCCACTGTTTTTTCTCCTTCAGGCAATTCAGCTAGCTCCCATGTGTGGTTTTTTTCAATAGCTTCGATCTCTGCATCCATAGCCTTTCTCCATTTTGAATCTTTAATTGCCTCATCAAAAGTAATCGGGTCACTCTCTGCAAACAAAGCAAGATGAGTCAATGAGTCTTCATCAGCAAGTTCTTCACCACTTGTGTAATCAATCATCCAAGCTGGTTTTCTCCTTGATCTGTGCATGCTTTGTATAGGAGTTTCAGATGTCTCAGGTAGTAATGTCTCGGTAACTTGATCCATACTACCTGATTCACATTCTCCCTCACCACTGTGTGCATCTTCTTCAGCGTCAGCTTTTCCATTGTCTTCCAATTCAAGAGCCATTGGATTTCCTTTGTCAGTGCTTTCCCAATCATAGCTGTTGTGTTCATCAAACACCACATCTCTAGAAATACAAATCCTTTTGGTTATAGGATTATAAAGACGGTATGCCTTGGATTCTTCACTCACCTAAAGCAGTACACATTTTTCTCCCTTATCATCAAGTTTCATTCTCTTTGGGTCTGGAATGTGTGCATATGCCACACAACCAAATATTCTGAAGTGACTAACAATTGGTTTCTGACCTGACCAAGCTTCTTCTGGCGTCACATTTTTCACAGAAAATGTTGGACTTCGATTGAGAACATATACACTCCATTTGACTGCCTCGGGCCAGAAGGCTTTAGGCATGTTCTTGCTTGCTAGTAAACTTCTTACCATATTCATGATGGTTCTGTTTCTCCTTTCTGATACACCATTCTGTTGCGGTGTGTACGCAGCAGTCAGTTGTCTTTTAATTCCACTTCTTTCACATACATCTACAAACTCATTGGATGTATACTCTCCACCGCGATCTGTTCGAAAACATTGGATGAATTTTTCTGTCTCCTTCTCAACCTTTGCTTTGAATCTCTTAAACACTTCAATGGTTTCTAATTTTTCTACTAGAAAGTACACCCACGTTTTTCTGCTAAAGTCATCAGTGAAGGTTATGAAGTACCTTTTGTGGCTGTTGGAAGTGGGATTCAATGGACCGCAGATGTCTGAGTGCACCAGCTGTAGAATATGATTGGCTCTCCAAGTGCTCTCCTTAGGAAATGATTCTCTATATTGTTTTGCAGTCACACACTCTTCACATACGTTAGAGGGATCATTGATCTGAGGAAGCCCTCTTACCATCTCCTTTTTCTGCAGAGTCTTGAGTCCACTGAAATTCAAGTGTCCAAACCTGTAATGCCACAACCAAGATAAATCTTGGTTAGATGTCTGGAAACAAGTTTGATCTCCAGTAACTTCTGTTATGAGCTGAAACATTCGATTTCCAGAAATCTTGATATTAGCCACTAATTCCCCGTTTGAATCATGGATTTGGCACCTTCCTCTCTGTAGCAGAATTGAACATCCTGCTTCTTGCAGTTGTCCTAGGCTGATCAGATTGCTTTTAAGTTCTGGTATATAAAATACATCATCTAAGTTATGTATTTTGTTGTTTACCAGCATTTGAATACTTCCCTTTCCCATAACACTCATGTTTGAGTCATTTCCAAGCTTGACCTTTTCTCGAAAAACTTCATCTAGAACACAAAACAGGCTTTTGTTTCCTGTCATGTGATTGCTGCATCCAGAGTCAAGATACCACATTGCTCCCTTTTCAGCTGGTATGATTTCTGTGTAGGCCATCAATAGCATTTCTACCACAGCTCCATTGTTCTCTGTGTAGGTGATCAATTGCATCTCTTCTTCTTCAAAAATGCTTGCCACTGCTCCATTATCTTCTGTGTAGGCCATCATTAGCATTTCTCCCTCTTCTTCAACAAAGTTTGTCATTTCTTCGTTTCCAGCTGGCTTGTTCTCTATGTAAGCCATCAACAACATCTGTTCTTCTTCTTCTTCTATCTCAGCAAAGTTTGCTTTTTCTTCCCTTTTATGGGGACACTCCCATTGAAAGTGACCAGTCTTATGGCAATTGTAGCATTCAACAAATGTTTTGCCAAAGTTTCCTTCTCTAGTGCCACGACCACGTCCACGTCCTCTTTCTCTGAAGCTTCCACGTCCTCTGCCTCCTCCAAAGGGTCTTACAGCATAAGTCACATTAAGAGCTTGTTCTTGCTCAATGTGTTTAGTCATGCATTGTTCATGCACAACTAGTGAGCTTTGCAGCTCATCTACTGACATAATATCAATGTCGTTAGATTCTTCTATTGAGCATACCACATAATCAAACCTAGAATTCATAGAGCGTAGAATTTTTTCTATAATTGTCACATCTTCTAACTTCTCACCATGCATTTTCATCTGATTCGCAATAGTCAGTATTCTTGCAAAATACTCATTAACAGATTCTCCACCTTTCATGTGCAGCATCTCGAACTCTTTACGAAGAGCCTGCAACTGGGCACGTTTAACTCTACTGGTGCCTTGATATTTCTTCTTCAAAGAGTCCCATATGTCTTTAGAAGTGTCCTTCTTGAGAAGAGTCTCAAGAATAGTGCGATCTATCGCTTGAAATAAGAAATTCTTTGCCTTCAGATCCTTCAGCTTCAGGTCTGATATCGCCTTTGACTGTGCCTCAGTCAGAATTGTGCCTTCTTTTACTTCGGGAATTCCTTCCTCAATGAGTGCCCAATATTCCTTTGATTTGAGAAAGTTCTCCATCAGCATGCTCCAATGATTATAATAACCATCAAGCCTTGGAATTGCTGGTTGTACATAGCCACTCGTGTTTCCCTCAAATGCCATTTCTGGTGTTTATAGAAGACTGCTGCTTCAGATGATAGGGCCCTTTACAAGCTCTGATACCAAATGTTAATTATCAGATTGCTAACAAATAAATTGAACCGTAATCGACTTGTTTTATTGAAAGATAAACTGGCTTTATAAATAGCCTTACATTGTAACTAATTCTCAGAAAAAACAGCTAAATAATAGCAACAGACTCACGACTTAATCAGCTCAGCAATAACAGGCTTGCTGATTTGATCACACTTAACAGCTGTGATTCACAGCTGTGATTCCTAGTCAATAGGATTTATTAACAGAAAATAGACAAATTAAATTCAAACAATCTTTAACACGTTCTTTCTCCTTCTTGACCCAGGAGTGGACGCCATTCTTCGCGCTTTTTCGGTAATAATGCTTGCCTTTATTTTATTTTCATTTTTTTAATTCAATTGGGTGGGATCAAGTAAACTTTTCTTGTATTGGGCCTGTGAACTTAACCTTTCGTGCTATGAAAATCTTTTGATTTTTGTTTTAAAAATCTAAAAAGAAAATTTTTAATCTCTATAAATCTGACTTGATGGGTTGGTATACGAAATTATCGACTAAGAGATTGATTTCCTTTTTTTTTTTCACCCGGTGTCCTACATTTTTTTAAAAATCTTGCTTGTGATTTGTGGTTATTCCTCCGAACAAATATGTTTTTCAAGGATTAAATTTATATTTTAATCATTACATATATATATATATATATATATATATTCATTTTTTCTCAGAAATAAAAATGTAAATTAATTATTTTTTAAAGATGTTTGGTAAAGATAAGTAACTGAGAATTTTACTTTATGTTAAGTGGGAGAATTTAGCAGAGGGTAATTTATTAAAAGAGGATGATAATTAACCAAAATTATTTTAAAACATATTCAAATAATATTTTTTATATAATCTTTTCAATCATTATTAATAATTTTTTTTCTTTTCACTAATCTTGTATACTTCTATTTATTAACACATTAATTAACCTTAAAAATTAATTTTTCTCTTTTAACAATTATCTTGGCAATTTTTGCTTTTTTGTAAAGACTCTCTTCTAAGAAAAGCCATAAATTCTCAAAAAACATTTATTATGTAATTTTTTTATTTTAGTAATAAATTTTTTATTGTTGTAAATTATGATAATAAAATGAAGATTTCACCATTTTAAACATAACACAAATAGTTTTGGAAGAGAAGGGGTATAATAGTTTTTTGTTGTTGTTATTTGTACAGTGAAATCATTGATATGCCCTTAAAGGAAAAATAAATAACCATTGATGGGCATTGATGGGTAGGGGCACCTTTGACTTTTGTATTTTAGTTCATTTTTTTCATTTTTTATATTATATATGGTTTTTATTTTTTTGATTGCTATTTATTTTTTTA